TGCTGAAATCTTTCATTTTGTGGTGGCTGACAGGTACAAAAAGCTGTGAACTACCACCTTTATCACCCACTTACTGGTGTAATCTATACCTGGTCTGTGGTTGTGAGCATACACACAACAACCACTACATCACTGTGCATCCATTAAAGAATAACTGTCATTTGGGTATACGTCTTTTCTGAAAGCACAGGCTTTAGTCACTTGCTTTGCACAGGACAAATTCAGCCTTTTGGCTATTGAAACTGTCTTTTCAACCATCACTCTAGCCACCGTGGTGCAATGCAACAACTTTGCTTAACAAAAACCCCTACAGCAACAGGTTTTCTATTACAGATCTTGACCTTTGACCTTTGGCAAGTGAGAGCAGGAATTTCTTCACCAGAATGAACTTAGCATTACTTTGTCATACTGAAAACATAAACTACCCTAAACGACAGCTGCTCAGTATAGAGCAGTGGTTCTGCGGGGCCACTGCAGGACAGTCACACATGACCAGGAAGAAAATGAAACTTATGTTGAACGTGACCTCTCTTGCAGCAGATATAGTTGTTTGTTTTGTTCTTTTTTTCAAACTGTATGGTGATCATGTCAAACATGAACTTCAAATTCATATCAATTCATAATTATTTTTACACAATGAACATCTACAGTAGATTAAGGGTAAAAAAGGTCCGACATGACATTGCCTCCAGACCACTTCCTGTTGAAACCTGCAGGGGTCTACGGAAAAAAGGGCCGTGTGATGAAAATAGATATAGGTAAATGGAAAGGTTTACTATCACCTAGGCTAAAATCAAAGCAAAAGCAACACTATTTAACCTCGACTTTATGTTAGGCAGATATAAAATCTGGGCTTTGTTTGGCAAAGTGGGAAACTGGGAGGCTCACTGTGTCTCTGTTGGTTTGTAACTCCAATTTAACCCTAATTTCTGTTCAGGAATATATTCCCCAAAAGCAACTGCAAAGATAAAGACTTTAAGGTGAGACCTACCTTAAATCCAACTTCTAAGACACTTAGTCTGTTAAGAGATAACTGGTGTCATTTCTTTACCTTCGAGTTTATTGTAATCATTCAGTCCATTTGCTGTTTACAGCATATTGGTATTTTCTACGTGTCGGCTATAATCAGTTGGCCATTATCTTCATTAGTCCTGTACAGTCACTGGAACAGCCAACTGGTGGTAATAATAAGAACTATGTCATAATGCACATATACTAAATAAGTGAAAGTTTACAAGGTTCATTTATTTATCATTTGACACAGGGCTGTATAACAAGATTCATTAGTCAGGCTACTGAAGTTATAAAGCTGAAATGACTTTGAGCCACTTGGGGAAAAGGGTTACCTGACTGACCCCATAATCTACAGTAGCTGTGTAGTATACCCCCCCAACAGGTCTCATTCTGATTTTGAATTGGATATAAAGTTCAAGGTTTGAAAAACCTTTGGTGAAAGAAATAACGGAATCAGTCAAAGCACCATTCATTATTAGAGAACAAACTGGGATGACATTGCACATTTCAAGGTTCTCCCTTTAGTTTCTAACTTTAGAGGAGAGTGCTGCATGTTCACAAATATTGACCAATCTGTTCTGGGGTCCCGAAAAAAGAAATGTGAATTCTTAATAAAGGGTCGGATTCTCCTTTAAATGCACAATGCATGATTATAATATAGTGTTCCGTCCTCAAAGTATCTGGTACAGAAAAATAACAGGCTAAAATGATAAATATTAAAGTCATTATAGAGGCCTATTGGGGACTTAACTCAAATGATCATGTAAACTTGAAAATGAAAATGTAATTCCGTGACAGCAATGCAATTTTTCACACATGTATGTGTGCTAGGATTATACTGGACTTTTACTTTAAATATGAGCAAAGCAGGAGAAGCAGTCAGCAGGTTCCATTTGAAAGTAATCTTTTGCTCGCAGTTAGTCGCAGTAGGTGTGGGTGGTTACAGCTGAGTGCTTATACTTCTACACATGAAAAACAGCATACACACAGGTCAAACTCTATCATATTATCTTGAATAAAGCAAAAACAAAAACAATTCTAAATAAAAAATCAGTACATCAACACATTTCTCACTCTAAATATATAATAATGTGAGCAGAAACCAAGGAGATTATATGTACTACTTAACAACAAATTAAATATGAATTGAGGAAATATAATGAAATGAACTCACTCAATGCAATCAGGAACAAAAGTGAAAAGACAGAGGGAAGCAGCTGAACTGAAGTACAAACAGAGAATGAGCTCAGGACACAGAACAAAGAACACTCAAGGCACCTGTGTGAGCTGCCCAGTTAGCACACCTGTTCTCTTGCTGCTCTTCAGCCCAGCAAAGTAAAGACAATTAAAATGCAACATATGCAACATAACTAAAAATCATGAACAGACCCTTTTCATTGTAGATATATTGTCTGGCATGGCAGGAGAAACAGGTGTAATTAATAACATTAACTGCCTCTGCAGTCTGTTTAAGTGAGCCGGTTCCAGGGCTCTGCTGTTGTGCATACTGTATCACCGGAACAGCATACAGGGAGACTTACTAGAACTCAGCCATCGTTAGAGAGAAATTAGTTTCAGCTATGTTTGCCAGTCCATTTTGGTCTCTGAACTGTGCAGCTGACTGTCTCAGGACACAAATACCTAATACTAATTGTGATCAATTGTAATAGTGTGTTTTAAAAATGCTTTAGAAACAGATATGGACCTAAACATATATTGACATGTTTGTGTGGGTACCTTTAGCTGAATGAATGTATTGTCAGGTGTCTGCAATATTAAACCCACTCCAACACCCCATGAGATGGCTGGTAAAGGTGCCACTGGATTTATGATGGCAGAGCATGTTCGTCCTCTATGATTCATGTCTGGTGAGGCACAGTAAACCTGCTGCCAGCACACAACACACCCACTTAATAAATTACAGCTCTACTCCACTGTGGGAGGCCCACTCTCCTATATGTTCTGCTTAGATTGTATTTCAGTCACAACAAAATGACATTTTCAACAGCACTGTGTTTCCTTGATTACACTGTGTCTTTAGTAACCTCATCATATGCAAATAAGAAGTGTAGATGAAAATACCAACCAGTAAAATCATCACAGATTTCTGAACAATCCATCCCCACCATTTATCCTACTAAATGACAGGGCATTTCTCTTCCCTAACTGATATACCATTGCTTTGAAATTTTGAATGATTTCTTTCTCCATAATTGTCTGCTGCAGCATAACATTTCAACAGTAAAAGGACCAGCTGATATATTATCATTAGACATATCAAGCTATGTTTCTTGTGCAGGAAGTAATACATTCATGCAACTTTTCCCCACCCACTTTGAGCTACTGTCACAACCCTGCTTTTGTGGGTATGCGTGTGTTTGTGGTGGACAAGTTTTGTACTTCCTGATACTAGAACTGTGTAAATAATTTCTAGTTCAATGGGCTTTACACTGTGACTAATCTTTCTATCCTGCTTTTTTCTTCCTCATGTAGTCACAATAAAGCAGATCAAGCACAAACAAAAACCAAATTAATGGATAAGTGCTCACATTGGGGAATAGGCAACAAGTGAATTAACAATATGTAACACTATAGCTTATATTGTTAACAAGACATGGCGATTAAAGAGGAATGCACTAATAATCTTTTATCCTCTAGATATTAAAAATGCACAAATGAGAGAAGAGACAAGAGTGAGAAAAAGACTTGGAAAAAGAAGCAGATGAAAGAAGCAGAGAAAAGGGTGTACAGCTGAGAAGTGGGGCAAAGGTACATGGCTTGTATGGATACAGATGTATGGTTATATATTTTGCATGTGTTATTTTTTCTGGTGAGAAAAAAACAACCAATATTGTATTTTACTATTTTGTGTCCCAGTGAGAAACTGAGAACCTGGGAATGTGAGACAGTCTATTCCAGTTTGATTACAGTATACTGTCTTTATTTACAGCTGTTCCGTCCGTTTCCTGATTAAAAGGAAATAAATAAACTCTCTTCAGCCGTTCTCCAAATTATCTCTACAACAGATGACTGGAACTAGTGTCCTCAGATGATGACATTTGCCTGCAATGTCCCTGTCTGATGCAGCCGAGACCGCATCAGCACCATGCTTTGACGCCATCTGGCGGCCATGGTGGCGCTACCCAAGGCCAAGTGCTTTGACAAAACAACAGCTTGTCTCATCACATTTTTGTCACAGAGATTGCCCTTTAGAGAATAACAGCACTTGTACAAAAGGAGATGTAAACGAAAGCCCCAGAAAACTAAAACAACTGTGTCCCGTTAGTCAGACACGTTAAATGACGGTTGAGACGGGAAACCAAAGGCCACAGATTAACTGTAAAGAGACACCCCTTGTTATTTCCCCTAGGGGATAAATAAAGTATCTATCTCATATTTCAACAGCCCAGTAATTGTTTGAATGGGACAGTGTAACAATACAAATGTTTTATATTAATCAAATTAGCAAATGAGACAGTTATCCTGTTCTGTCGACAAAACTGCTATTTTAGGCAAGAAACTTAAACATTAGCACTTGACAAAAGTAGGCATGCGCAAACAAGGACTAACTTCAAGATGATTTTAACCTCTGTCTTGAAGCCCTTTCAGTAGCTAACTGTGTACCACTATAAGTGTCAAAAACATGAAACATTTACTGCCTCGTGAGTCAAATTAAACTGCAGTTTAACCGAACAGGGAAGTATGTGAAGGATATATATCTTGTCTAAGAGGCTGACGCAGAAATTTCTAGTAAAACAACATTTCCCAAGATGCACCGCGGATTCTGGTGATATCCACGCTACGATGATGTGAAGCGCTTGTTTTCGTCCCGGAGGTTGTGATCAGCTACCTGTAAACTGAAGCGTAACGGCTGTTATATCGAAATTAACGCAACATCCCCGGACTGTAGGGTAGCTGTTGCCCTCTGGATTCACTGTCAGACTGAGGGTTTCATCCACCGCTTCTTTTTCGGTGAGTTTATCGCCATGTTATCATCTGTTCCCACCAGGCTAATTGCGCGAAGGTCGCGCAGCCTGTCACCGTGCAGTCGTGTGCTCCAGACTAGTGCTAGCGGTGCGGCCTGTCAGGGCATCCGTGAAACACCGACGGAGGCCAACCGCAACCCCATTGTATCCACCTCCCGCGTCTCGAGGAGGGGGATTTTGGCTGAAGAGACCTCTGGTTCCAGTGTCAATCTGTCAGTGCAGTACCACCACCTCGCCCCTAGATGGCTGTCCAACCTGGAGAACCGTCGCAGCTCCTGGGCGGCTCTGGCCAACAGGGGGCGTAACAATAACAAATATTGGGAGGAGAGCGGGCAGAGCGGCGGAGGTGAAGGCCGGGGAACAGGTGGAGGAGCCAGCCGGGCAGGAGTGGCCTCTGCCGGTGTGCTGTCTGCTGCAGCCGTGGCCTTCTGCCTGAAGAGAGACTCTGATTCCAAAGGTAGGCTTAATCAGCTGTCATTGTGTACTCTGACTTAGAAGCCTGTAGTTCCTTAGTCTGGGCCTGACACTTTTACACCTTTTCACAAAAAGCATACAAGTTTTGTAGTGGTCAGCAGAGTATATAGTGGGGTAAAACAATTTGCTAATGTGTACTTGTACTATGTTTTCCGTATTCTTGTGTAATGTTTTCTGTATCTCTTTTGCAACAACAAGGTGATGCTCTTCTGGAGGCAGCAAGGACCAATAACGCTCAAGATGTGGCCAGGTACTAGACAGTCATGATTAAAAGGTTTCACACTCACCCCACGTAATTTTTTCTTCACTTTTATGCTATGTACAAATGCTTCAGCTACATTTCAGACATGTATACAACTTTTTTTTTTTTTATATAAATATATGCATTATACCAGAAATTAGTATCTTCTACCCCCATCTGTAATGATGGCAGTGGATTATATGAAGATCAAACTTGAATATAAAAGACCACTATATGACGAACAAACTACATTCCCAATGGGACAGTGGACTGATATACAGTACATCCGTGAAGTATTCACACCTCTTCACTTTCCCCACATTTTGTTATGTTACAGCCTTATTCCTAAACGGATTAACCCCCCCCCCCATCAATCTACACACAATACCCCATAATGACAAAGCAAAAAAGGTTTTCTAGAAATTTTTGCAAATTTATTAAAAAAATAATAAAAACAAATATCACATGTACATAAGTATTCACACCCTTTACTCAGTACTTTGTTGAGGCACCTTTGGCAGCAATTACAGCCTCAGGTCTTCTTGGGTATGAAGCTACGAGCTTGGCACACCTGTATTTGGGGTATTTCTCCAAGTCTTCTCTGCAGATCCTCTCAAGCTCTGTCAGGTTAGCTGGGGAGCGTCGCTGCACAGCTATTTTCAGGTCTTTCTAGAGATGTTCAAATCAGGTTCAAGTCTGGGCTCTGGCCGGGCCACTCAAGGACATTCACAGACTTGTCCCGAAACCACTCTTTCGTTGTCTTGGCTGTGTGCTTAGGGTCGTTGTCCTGTTGGAAGGTAAACCTTCGCCCCAGTCTGAGGTCCTGAGCTCTCTGGAGCAGGTTTTCACCAAGGCCCTTCTCCCCTGATTGCTCAGTTTGTCTGGGCAGCCAGCTCTAGGAAGAGTCCTGGTGGTTCCAAACTTCTTCCATTTACGAATGATGGAGACCACTGTGCTCTTCAGGACCTTCAATGCTTCAGAAATGTCTTTGTACCCTACCCCAGATCTGTGCCTCGATACAATCCTGTCTCAGCGGTCTCCAGACAATTCCTTTGACTTCATGGCTTGGTTTCTGCTCTGAGATGCACTGTCAACAGTGGGACCTTATATAGACAGGTGTGTGCCTTTACTAATCATGTCCAATCAATTGAATTTACTGCAGGTGGACTCCAATCAAGTTGTAGAAACGTCTCAAGGATGATCAGTGGAAACAGGATGCACCTGAGCTCACTTTTGAGTGTCATAGCAAAGGGAGTAAATACTAAGAATTTCTAAAAAACCTTTTTGGCTTTGTCATTATGGGGTATTGTGTGTAGATTGATGAGAAAAAAAGGAATTTAATCCATTTTGGAATAAGGCTGTAACATAACAAGATATGGGGAAAGTGAAGGGGTGTGAATACTTTCCAGATGCACTGTATATATGTATATATAGTGTCAAGGCAGAATTTGTGTAATAATCTCAACCTGGACTGTATTTCACTGGATAGTAGAAAGTAGAAGTCACAGATCATCTGCTGAGGCCATTCAAAACAGTAGGGAACATCTGCAGTTATTTTAAAGCACAGTTATATCACTTGTAGTCGTATTCCCACCAATAACCACTAGGTGGAAGAAGAGGACTGTGTGTGTGTGTGTGTGTGTGTGTGTGTGTGTGTGTGTGTGTGTGTGTGTGTGTGTGTGTGTGTGTGTGTGTGTGTGTGTGTGTAAATGTGTGTCTGAAGAGGAGGTGATTGCAGGATGTTACACTCAGCCTCTTAGAGCTCCATTTCAACACTGTGCCTTCAGATTTTTTCTCTGACATTGCATCACTTTTATTTTTCTATTCTAACTCACAAATCTAATAATATAAACACATGCTCTGAGCTTGATCTTAGACTTAAACATATCCCCTACAAATTCCTTGCACACTCACAGCCACTCAACCAAAACAGGTATGCCACATGAGTAGAGAGGTGTGTGTGTGTGTGAGTGCTTTACCAAGCTTGTAGTATTTCTTGGTCCCATCTGTCTCATTGAGAATATTGCATTGCCAAATGCGAGGGCAGATTATGGAGACTGACACAGGTATACACACTCTGTCTCGGTCAGAGACATGAAACCAACTCCATAACCTGAACTTTGCTGTGGAAATCTCTTTGTGGTAGCAGAATACTCAAAAACCCATTATGTCCCAAGTAAGTACCTATGACTACATTGGTACACACACATCACTCTTCATGGTGGCGTGTGGTGAGATTTCCTGTTAGCCGTGCCGTTCACCCCCGGGAAGAAATCAGATTAATGTGTACATCTATTTTAATTGTGTTAAATGGATGATTTTTATGTGCGCTCTCTGTGTTGTTGGACATCAGTATCCAAATCTATGTATTTGAGTGTGTGCATACATGTGTTTATCCATGCGTGTCTCCATTTGCAGGCTTGGGTTACCTGTGCCCATGTGGCAGATGGTGCAGGTGAGAGTGCAGCGAGACAGCCAGTCAGCAGGTCACAGATGTGTTAAGTGCTTTGGTTGAGTTCATAGAAGTGGTAGAGTGTCAGGGTGTGTCTGCCGAGAGGCAGTCGAGAGATTAGAGGTTCCGTTTTCACATGGGCTTCAAAAAGAGATTATTCTTCAACCGTAACATCGGAACTTTTTTACAGTGTTGAGTCAGCATCACAAGGAGCATATGAGACTCATGTGTTGTCATAAAAGCAGGTTCTTCTTTTATGTGTCTTACTGTTCAGCTGCCAGAATGTCCGATATTCAATATTTTTAGATTTGAAAATGTTGGTTGGAAATAGTCAGTATTCCTCCTTATGTTACGTTGGTAAAGCCCTTCTCAAGGCCTGCTTTCAGTTTACTCTGCTGTATTGGTGGTACGCAGCATTGCCTCAACAGTATTCAAGTTTAATTTTATTCAAGGTCACATGTGACTGTTACATTGGTCAAACCCAACAGTGTCATTCTAGGTATACTGTAGTGTCACCTGTGTCACCTTTACAAGTGGCAGCTCTGTGAGGCTCCTCGTGTTGCTGCTTGATTCACTTGACTGAAGCTCTTTCCCTCCTCATGGAGCACAGTCCATCTTCAATTCTGTTCATTTCAGTTCAGAGTTCTGACTTCCCACAATGTCCCGTCTTTCACTTAACCGTCTCATAAAATTAAAGTAGTAAGAGTCGCTTAATTTGACTGGACTGAAACAAGTACTGCAACCTGAAAAGTCTGGATGCAGCTGTTACAGCATGCAGACCAGGCTGTGAAAACAGAGCCAGAGAGCACCAGAGCTGAGAGCAGACCTGACAGAGGCCACTGTGTTGACTGTAAACACACACACTGTCTACCTTCTCAGCACAGGAGACGACAGACGGATCACTTACACTCTCTCTCTCTCTCACGCTAACACACACACACACACACACACACACTTATAAAGACTGTGCTGCTCCGGTACCTGATGTCATACCCTCGGGGAGAGAACGTAACACACACCTGGCTTACACCACAGACACTAACTGGTCAAGGAGCAAGTGTGTGGCTTCAGATAAAGACATAGGCATTGTGTGCAGGTTTCATGCTGGTGTGTCTAACAAGGCAGATCTTTGATACAAATACACAAGCAGCTGGCTAGCTATAAATGCATTTTCACGTGCATTCGTTCCCCTTTACGTACAAACAAACATTTATTCTCGTATCATTATACTGCATCTTGGTATGTGTTAAAATGCTAACAAAACACTACTAATACAAGTGTATTTTTACCACTACTATAAAGGCACTTGTTTCAGACCTCTTCTACTAAATGTTGGCATTAATAGTGATGCTAAAATCAAATTATAACCCCTTTCTGTTTCATTTTCCCATCAGGCTGCTAAACGAAGGGGTGGACCCAAATCACCGCCACCGTCTCGGTTGGACCGCTCTCATGGTGGCTGCCATGAACCGACAGCACAGGTCTGTGTGTGTGTTTCATCCAACTAAACCCACTGAACAAAATGTGTGTTTTACAGTTGCGAGACGCCCTCCCTGGTGAGCATATGTTAACAGTAATGTAGCACTTTGGTATCATGCAGCTGTCTGCATGAGTTAGCTTGTGAGCATATGTCATCCATGTCCCTGCTCTAGTTGTTACAGTAGGTCTTCAGAAGTGCAAAGTGCGACTTTCAGACTGGCAGACGGTCTTTACCCGTTCCCCCATCTCTCTGTCCCAGCAAATTAAATTAGCCTCCTGGCCCCCAGAACACACACAACACAGAGAGGGGCCGAGGTTAAGGCTGGGCCAAATCCAATTTACAGGGCTTTTTTTTTTTTTTTTTAATTTTCTATCAGGACTCTGTGGTCACTTTTTTTATTTAAGGGCCTCATGAGCCAGTGAGAAGCGTAATGTGAAATTTGAATATGGAAATACCTTAAAATGAGCTTATTTTAATTAAAAGGTAACAGCTTCTGCTTCTTCAAGTTGGTAAGATAATGTGAATTAATGCCACTAAAATGGAAACAGTGTCTTCTAATGCTTAAATATTTATATAAAGTTATTAGTGTTGAATCAAGTAATCAGTGGTCCAATTAACAGAAACTTAATTGACAATTATTTTGACAGTTGGTCAAAAGTTTCAGTCATCTATCAACAAAAACTGTCAGCTGGTTCCAGCTTCTCAAATGTGAGAATCTGCTGCTTTTACATGATTGTAAAATTGCATATCTTTTGTAGACATCACCTTGGGCTCTCGGACATTTTGTTGAACATTGCTCACAATTTTTCTTCCATTTTAGAGACAATAATCAATCATAAAAACAATTGTAAGGTTGATCGTGAATGAAAATAATTGTCAGTTGCATTCTTTTTCTACTTTGATAATTTCACACAGTATGTCTTTGTATTTACATGATGTGTGCTGAGCGGTTGCTGGTGTGGAACGTATTGATGTATGTTATGTCGTGTGTAATGATGTGATGTCTCTGTGTTTTTGGATACAAATCTGGTTGTATGGGTGTTTTGAATCTGTCTGCACTGTGTACACGTGTCACTGCACTCTATGTGTGTGTGTGTGTGTGTGTGTGTGTGCGCGTTATGAGTGCTATAACTCAGCGAGGCAGTGACACCCCTCTATGTTTAATCCCGTCTTCCAACCCCCCAGTGAGCCGTCACTGCTGCAGGGAAGACAGAACATCGGTTCACACACATCACTCACGCGTCTCTCTCTCACACACACACACACTCACACACACTCACACACACACACACACACACACACACACACACACACACACACACACACACACACACACACACACACACACAGTGTGTGAGGATGCATGTGTGAATACACACATACACACACACACAAACAGGGGGATTTTATACCAAATATCTTACAGGCCAACTGTCTATTACTCAGCCACACACAACTTTATTTGCAGCCGTTAAGTGAAAACACAAGGAGCATTAGTCACGAACAAGGTCTACCCTGTAGCTACAATGTCAGTGTGGACCCTATTGTTGAATTATTTCACCCCTCCCTCACTATATATATATATATATATATTTTCCTGGACCAGAAGTGATAACTGTGTTTTGCCATTTCAGTGGAAGATGTAGCTGTCCTCTGACTGTTTGTAGGTGTAGTGTCCAACAGGCAGCCTCTCTTGTGTTCAGGGGTCGAGGTGCGGGTGTATGAGAGAATCAGGGGTGGAGTAGAGGGGTAAGAGTTAAGGGTGAGACATCAGGGGGCGTGTGATTGCTTAACTTTGATGTGGAGCTAAATCGGGGAGGCGCAGGGCCTGGCCCACTGTTTGCACTCTTTAACACACAATACCCATCTCCATCTCTCTTTCTCTCCCTCCATCCCTCCATCGCTGCATTCACGTGCACAATGGGCGCTCAGCCGAGTGAAACGCCTGTTGACCGTTCCGACCTGTCGGGCCGAGTGACTCGATGGGAGGGAGGGGGACACAAACGAGGGAAAGCGGAGGTATGGTGGAACGAGAGGACGAGTGGCCCGTTGGGAAAGAGAGAGGGAGAGAAAAGTTTAGCAGTGGAGAGAGTGATGTGGAGTGGGATTATGGGTTTGGGATCGGGATTAGCTGGACTACATTTCACATTTGGAGTTTTAGAAAGAAAGAAATGCACTTAATGACCATAAACCCATGATGAACACCTTTTTATATACAGTATATTATGACTTTCAACAGCAACCATTCAAGTCATGATGTCATGGTTTAGATGGTTTTCCTCAGGACAGCATGGAAAGGTGTAGTAAAACTGCAGTAAGAGCCTGTTACCTGCAGCGCTTCATTGAACCATCACAGTATTCGACTAAAGTGTTTTTCCTTTTGATTTTTTTTTTTTTTACATATTATATGTATTACTTTCAAGTTCTTTGTTTAAGAAGTAAATCATTACAGCACATATTTTCTGTATAAGATGAGGATGTTTCTAAAGTAATCCCCTTCTCATGTAGGACTTCTAAAAGAAAATACTTGGAAGAAGACACAATTAGATAAAATTACATTTTGACCAATCAGGTTATTTGTCTGAAATAAACAAGTAAGTGCAGTGAGCCTCTTCTCCTGGCACCTACCTGACCCCAGGTGCGCACCAGGTGAGATTAGGTCAAGTGAGGTCCAGCGTCTGGGCCAGGTGGTCAGAGACATGGATGGTCAGTTCAGCTCGGGTGTCTATTATAGCACCGGAGAGACGGAAGTGTCTGTTTCCTGTCTTCCCTCCAGGGCAGGATGGGAAACTAACACCAGTGTCCAGCAGTAACACCAGTCACCTGCTGGCAAACCTTTCGGCCCGAGCTGGAAGGTTAAATCTACCAGCCTTCGCATAACCGTGTTGAATAATGAGCGGCCATTACTACAACATTTTTGGTACAAAAGGAGAAGGAGGCAGCGAGGAGATCATCCTTTTAACTGGAGGTACACGTTCCAAGCATCTCCTCATCTGAAGTGTCCTTGAGCAAGACGCCGAACCCAGCTCAGCGCCGGGAGTGGTGGATCCCTGATGAAGTAGACAAATAAAAAAGGATTTTGTCACAAAGACTTTAACACTAACGTCATTTTAATACAAGTGTAACTGTTTGGTGCTTTGATGAGTGGTGTGTGACTCTGCACCAGAGGAAAAAATGCACATTAATAAAACAAAAATGTAAACAAAGATTGCAAAGCTCTCGAAAATGCGATCAGATTAATTAAGGTTAGGGTTAGGATGTTTCAGTTCAATAAAATGCTGCCTATATTTCCTGTTACATCTTGTGAAAGAGGCACAAGGTTGAGACAGTGGACCCAAGACTGCCAAAGTAGTTGGAGATGAGGGTATTAAGTCGGCAGCTAGATAATTCCTTCCTTATTTATCTCACGTGAATTTTGAAAGTAAAGTAATAATGATATTGTTTTGGTCATTGTGAGATTGTGTTAGGAAGTCAGTAATTTAAACTTTTGGCTCAGTACTTTTAAAATCAGAATTTAACCTAATTAACCTCTGCATGCCTTCAGTTTGGCCTCAAATTAGTGCTGCAACTCTCCTAAATGTCCCAAATAAAGTTAGCCACTTGATCAGCAGTTGATTAGTAAAACTATAAAGTGTTTTGAAAAGCTCATTAGTTTTAACACTATCCTGTGTAATTAAATCTCCCTCTCTTTCATCTTTTTAGCTGCACTTCCCTCCTTTCATCCACTCCTCCTCCTCCTCCTCTCTGCCGTTTTCCTCTCTTTATCCTTTCTTGTTTACCTTTCTGATGCCATTAACCCTTTTCAGACCATCTCATTTCTTCACACAGTCCTGCCCAGCCTCGTGTGACCAACCATAGTTTGAGTTTGTGTGTGTCTGTATGTGTCTAGGAGGATGCATCGATGTGTTTGTAGAAGTGCTTGCAAGGGTGAGAGGAGAGCCCCCTGTGGGTCCCCCCCCCCCCCTGCCGCCTCCAGCCACAGTGATACAGTAACAAAGGGGGACCTCCCGATAGTCCTTTTATTCCCCCTCAGCAAGGTCAGACACAAAGACCTGGTCAGGCTGTTCTCAGCCTCGCTCTCCCACAGGAAAATGCACGTTCTGTAGTAATGACACAAACTCAATCTGGTCAGTTCTTAATAATGTGAAAGGAGCTGAAGGGAAACATTGTCTCATTTTTTCATTTTTTCACATTGTTTGAATACTGTGTTGTGATATTTCATCCTCTACTATCATCCCGGACACTGATACCAGAGTCTATTTTGATAATCTAATGATAGTCACTTTTTAAGCAAAAATGCCAAACATTTGCAGATTCCAGCTTCTGAAATGTGAAGATGATAAAACAGATAAAACAGTAATTTGAATATGTCACCTTGGGCTCTGGGAAATTATAGTTGGCATTTTTTTCTGATGCACAGTCTAGAGAGAAAGTAATCATAAAAAAAAAAAATAAAAAAAAATTGCAGATTAATTTCTAGTGGAAAGAAAAAAGTTGTTTAAATATCCTCTGATTCCCTTTTTAAAAAAAGTACTTTTTTCTGTTGCTGTAACAGGTGTTTAATTTCACCCCTCACCTTTAAATTGGCTCAGTGGTGTAATATCTGAGTTGACTTACGAAGCTGCTCCATCATTGAGGTCATATCTCCTGTCATGTCTCATTTTTAAGAGCACAGCCTCTCCGAAAGGGACGCTGCAGCTTGTTACGTGGTCAAGTGTGGTAGCCTTTAAAAAAAAAAAAAAAAAAAAAAAAAAAAGGAGTCCACCTCATCCTCTTATGAGTAATCATTTTTGCTCCATTTAAGCCTTTTCAGGCCCCTTCTATAACCATCTAGCTGAAAATGATCCATCACTCCCTCCCAGGCTGCATTACATAGTCACAGGTTTAATGACAGCCAGCAGCGAACTGGCAGGGTTCATGTTTCGGCCATCGCCCCTGTTCTCTCTCCCTGTCGGCAAAGATGAGCTAACTAGCTTTTGTGTGTTTGTGTGCATTCATGTGCATGTCTGCGTCTCAATGTCAAAGCCATTGCTCATGTTCATGGTGGTAAATGTAAAGTGTGTGTGTGTGTGTGTGTGTGTGTGTGTGTGTGTGTGTGTGTGTGTGTGTGTGTGTGTGTGTGTGAGAGTGTGTTCTGTAGACGGAGAGACGGTACCTGGAATGTCCGTTGGGTCACAGTGAGTGGTGTTGCCGAGGTACTTGTGTTTGTTCTATAAGGCGGTACGCTCCAATGAAGGACTGCATACAAACACACACTGCAACACACAGACCCCCCCCCCCCCCACGCCCCCCACCAGAAAACAGCGCCGGAAACAGGCCCGACCCTTGCCCCTTCAGTGTACACATATGTACATGTTACGGAGCAGACGAGTGTGTGGTGAAGGAGAGAAGCAGCCATTGGAGTGTATTCACCATAACGGGACAGACTAGAAACGGAAGTGAATCAGGCGAAAGAGTTGTGGTTGTTTGAGGAATTGGATATTTGCACCTACGTCTGCGTGCATCGTGTTTGTTTTTCTTTTAATCACAACCCTTCACCAATGGGTCTGAGTTACGGTATGTTTGGTGAAAGCAAGTCTCACCCCAGTTCCAATAAAGAAAAGATTTGCTTTTATTCTGTCTTCATTGATAGGCATGTATACGCTACAAAATGATGATGAATAACTGAAGAGGAACTTAGCTTAAAAACACCCCATTCAGAAACAGGTTTTGATTGACAGCTTCTGTATTAAAGTTCCACATTCATTTATCCACTGAAACACCTTTATTTGAATAATGTCAACAGTGATTAAAGTGTCTCATTTATTGGCCACTAATATATCTCTATAACATATGGGGATGTACCAATGTACTGAATTCTATATGGGATTATTATATGTAAATAAAAATTGTGTGTGTCTTTTCTGTTTTCCAGTGTGGTGAAGGTTCTGGTGGAAGCCGGTGCCGACCCAAACGCCGGAGACAACTTCAACAATGTTTACGACACCTCACGGGAGAAAGGCATCCACTCCCTGGAAGGTAGAAAAAACACACCCTGCAACTGTGTGTGTGTGTGTGTGTGTTTGTGTGTGTGTGCATTCGGTTGCTATATTACACATATGAATCCTAAGTGTTGAACCAGATATTATGAGACATTATCATTTGCATAAAGATTTGCATATATGTACACGATTCATTTCTTCTGTATTATTTGTTTTATATGTTCTGTGACAAGTAGTGTGTGTTTTATTTGTTTTTCTCCTGAGCTGCACACAGAGTCACACACAAACACACTGACAGGATGGCACAGGCACACACACACACACACACACACACACACACCCCGTCTGTGTTGGGTTTCTGCAGACATATTTATATGGGATATGTATATTGCAGACATTTATATGGCTGTCAGGTTTGGGTCCACGTGGGGCTGGCGCAGCGTGGGGAAGCGTTTCCCAGACGCACACTGATGGATGGGCTAGGGGGGCCTGTGCGACGCTTTATTGGGTTAGCTATGATTATCCCGCCCTGTCTCACACACACACACACACACAAACACACACACACACACACAGAGACACTGCAGAGAGAGACTGTCAGAGCGATAGAGAAAAGGAGTGGGATGGATTGAGGGAGGGAGGGAAAGACTGATGAAGCGAGGAAGAAGGAAAAGAGAGAAGCAGTGAAAGAAAAAAGGGGATGGGAAGAAGAACTGGAGTGTCGATGCGCAGCAAGAGGTTAAAGATGGAGGAGAAGGAAGAAGATGTGGATGTTTGGAGGGGTGTTAGAGGGAGGGAGCGATTGAAGGAAATGGGTTGGATGATGAGGGAGGGAGAGGAGAGGAAGTCAGGAAATGGATGAGACAAAGTTATTGGGATAGAGAGAGCAGGGGGGGAGGGGGGGAGGAAGAGGGTGCAAGTGATGAAAGGAATTGATGGATGCCGAGGAGGAGAGGAAGGAGGCGGAAAAAATAAAATGGGATGATGGAGGAGTGGCACGAGATGAGTGCTCTTATGAAAAAGAGAAGTAAGGAGAGAATGATAGACTATCTCTATTATTAGTAAGGAGCAGCAAAGGAGGCCTTAAAACACAACTTGCATTACTCCGATCGTGTTGGACAGTTGAGCTTAAATCTGTGAAAATGAACAAAGCTGGAAACAGGAAAGACAATTTTGCAGTCTGCAGTGTTATCATTGTCACACTTTGTGGAGCCTCGCTGTTGAGTGAGAATAGATTAAATAAAGTTCTTCCGGAATCAAAGGCTGAAACGTTTCCTTTTAAATTTGTTTGTTACTTTATAATGATCATTTTCTTCAGCTCCAGGGAATATACTGTTTGCATCTCATTGGACTCGTATTTTTCTTGTTTCCATCTTTGAGAAAGTTGTTATTTTTTTGAAATCCTTTTTGATTCAAAACTTATTAAAAGTAGAAGATTTTTTTTTTGTTCATTATTTGTCAGACATAAAAAAAAAAAGTAAACTTATAGCCCGTGTGCATGTGTTTTTTTTTTCTGTGTTTTTCTCACATCTCTCATCTCTTTACTTGTCTTCTCAATGTTTTTTTTCCCTCTCCTCCCTCACCTCCTCCCCTCCCCTCCCTCCCTCCCTCCCTCCCTGCAGTCCTGGTGTCCAGAGAGGATGAATTCAGCAGCAGACTCAGCAGCAGGGCGGGTTTCCGCGGCTGCACAGCGCTTCACTACGCCACACTGGCAGATGACCCACACACTGTCCGCATGCTGCTGGAGGCGGGTACGTCACAGCCCACCCACCCTAACACCACAGTGGAGTCCACATCGTTCATATTTTTTGATATCTACACACAGACTGTTAAAAGAAGTTGTACCTGTGCACTATCTGCATAACACCTCTGCAGTTTTACATCATAGTGGCCTGACTTGATTCTCTCACGTGAAAATCTAAATAGTGAAATTCTGAAGGTAGGATCAGTTTCCAGTAAGTATTTTAGACTTTACTGTGGCTCATTTTCATGTTGCTCATTTTATTTTATTCTGAATTCTGTCAGTCGCTGCTAAACCAGGCTGACACACCTCCGTTATATTTCCCTTTGGAAGCGAAAAGTCCCAGTGGTTCAACATAATATCTTTAGCTGTTGTTAGGATGAAGTTCAAGCAGTCTGGATTGTTGTCATTCCACAGTTAGTTTACTCATTTATTACCTCTGCCAAGGAGGTATGTTGTCAGTCCCAAACAGTTTGTTTGTTTGTTTGTTTGTTTGTTTGTTTGTTTGTTTGTTTGTTTGTTTGTTTGTTTGTTTGTTTGTGGACATGGGTCAACGATCTTGATAGAAAGTTATTCCAAAGAAATAACTTTGTGATGCCATTTAGTGAGCCCTTTACATTTTCACTCAAATATTTTAACTGTCGTGTGTAGAAATAAAATTTAAGCCTGAACTGATTTTCTGGCATTTTGAATTTCTGGCAAAACATTTATCTTTTTTTTTCAGGATATTTGATCTGGTCCTCTGAATCTAGATCAGAATTTTTATTTATTTATTTATTTAGAGTGTTTTCTTCCCCTGAGATAGAAGGATACACACATCCTTATCCTTATCTTTTACATCCTCCTTTTATTGGATAATAATGTTTCTGTTAATTAATGAGAAATTAATTGAAGAATACCATTTATTTATTTTAGGAAGCAAATTACTAATTCAAGGGTACAAGTTTTACCGCGACACATGCAGTGCTCCTACTTTTACTCTTTGATGTCCCAACGAAATGTTTTTCATTGCTCTCCATAAGCGTTAAGAAGCTTTCCATGTGTCATCATCTTAACGTAATATAAACAGTATTACAAAGCTCATTTGAAATTGATCACTTGTTCATACCCCCTCTCTGTTCACCCCCATTACAGTCGCACCTGTCATTGACACAGCTCCACACACACACACACACACACACACACATTCATAGACCCAGAGGGCAGAATATCCCCCTCAGTTTCCAGGCGAGCAGCTCTTAAACAAGCTAGGCCTAGTTGAACCGTGACCCCTGCACAGAACATGCCCTTGGGGTAACTCCACAGTCACAGGATGTGTGTGTCTTTGTGAGTGTGTTTGTGTGTGAAAGCATGTGTGTGTTTGTGCACTCAAGCCTCCATTTCATTAAAATATTCATATATTCATGTATGCTTTTATCCTTTTTATATGCGTCTGTTTGTACACGCCTCTTTGAACCTTAACTTGGGTGACATTTGGAGTTGTTGCTTTTTAGGCTGATGGGTTTTTAATCTAAAAACACTCCGTCTTTTGGCTCAAACACCCCAACCACTACCACCATCACTACACACACACACACACACACACACACACACACACAAACACACACAAGCTAGTATTAATGTCTTGTTTATGTTTATGATGGATGGTGCATCCAAAGCTGTGTCTGCCTGTCTCTCCGTCTCACCCCTGCGCCTGTAAGCACTCTGTACGCTTAAACAAATCACCTCGTCTAACTCGATCAAATGTTCTGCAGACGCATTTTTGAATTAAAAAGGTAAGAAATTTCACAAAGCAGAGACATTTGTTTTAGGACAATCAGATTAAAGACGGGGTTGGTTGTTGCTCGCCCGACTGTGCCGTTTCTGGGTTGGCGCCACCATCTCGGCCAATAACAATCATGACATCACGCACTCTCAATCAAAAACACATTGCTGTTCGTGTGTGTGCGTGATTCAGTGTAAATCGGTGCATAATTAAGTCTTTGATTGTAGAGTTTTTAAGGCCTGTTTGATTATTCTTGACAAAGCATGTGTCATTTATACTGTGTTTGTCTTTCATCCATTTCCCCTTTGTAGCCTCCTAGCCATCTTTTTTTCTTTACATCATCACCAAAAATCTTATAACTGCCACAGCTTCAGGACATCTATGTGGATTTGGGTGTGTGCGTCATCTTCCCCTCATGTATGTGCACATCGTGTGTATCCTATACCTTGTTATTTCCCCTGTGTTTGTGTGCGTCCATGTTACTCTGCTAGCCGTGGGTTTGCTCTTTTGGCCTTAGCTGGCCCTCGACTCACATCTCCATCCATCACAGTCTCCAGGCCCACCCTCAGGCTTCTCCTGGCCCCTCAGTCCCTCACCCTACCTGCGGAGGCTCTCTAGCTTCTCCCCGAGCTCCGCATCAGGCCTGTGGCCAGGGGCACTCAGTAATGGACCGCTCCGTAGGTGGTAGGAGGCTAGAGGAGACACACATGCTCACAGTCGCACACAATACTGATACAAGGACACACACACACACACACACACAAAGACCAGCAGGGTCTCTCTCCCACCAGCTGCAGTGAAAGAGAGGGAGGAGGAAATAGGAAAGAGGAGGGGACTCCTAATAGGCATAACTAAAGCGCTCCTAATGAAGGGGTCCTATGTATGCGAGAGGGGGTGTGTGTGTGTGTGTGTGTGTGTGTGTGTGTGTGTGTGTGTGTGTGTGTGTGTGTGTGAGAGAGAGAGTGTTTGTGTGTGTGTGTGTGTGTGAGAGAGACAGTGTTTGTTTGCGAGTGTCGTTAGTGTTGATCCTGTTATAAAGTGCTATGGCCCAGAGGGTTGGCCTGATATTAAAGCCCTAAATGATGCTATTTATTATGTCCAGTGTGTGTGTGAGTGTGTGGGTACTTTATTGCTTTCCTCCCTCATGTTTTTGGTGGGCTGGGGGGGGGGGCGGTTAGTGGTGTATTGTTGTTGGGATCGATAGCTTTGTGAGCAGGTCACAAAATTTAGGGGTTTATCAATAATCACCACAGTGATTATTAGTCTCTGTGGTCAATGCACAGAGCAAAAGGAGCAACCGGCACCTGTATTGATTACATACAGTTTTATCTGTAGCTGTGTGTAGCTTACTCACAAAAACTTCAGAGGGACGTGCTGGCTCTTAATGCACAATTCAACAGTTTGTACACGTAGTATAGATGTTGCTAATTTACTTTAATGCACCTTTTTCAAGTTTGGTAAAAATATCTACGCCTATCAGGTGAAAGGGAACAGTTGATAGACATGGAAGAGAGTATTGTCATTGATTCATTTTAATCTTCTTGTAACTAAGAGATTTCTGTGGATTTTCCTGTCAACTTACAATTAAAGTGACACATTTGGTGTCGCTCCCGTGCGTTTGCACTGTTGCATTTCCTAAGTGTCAGTAATGTCTTAAATTGCATTAAGGCCTCAGACTAAATGGCCAAAGATTGTTGCACAGTGATTCGTCACAAAACTCTTTTGAACCTCCAGTGGCGGCAGTAAGGTCTGAGTAAATTCAGAAATATCTGTGAGTAACAGAAGTGTTGCAGTGAGTGCATCGCTGGGATGAAGCTCTAAAACAGTTTATGAATTCAGAACATAATGCTCAAGCTTTTGTTTCTTGTATTTCAAATAGAATAGGAGTGGGTATTATTTGAAAATGCTGAAACAATATTTTTTTCCATATCATACCTTAAGGAATAAAAAACCTGTTCCATTTATTTTAATTTAACCTCTCAAATGTTAAATGTGGTTCAACTGTGTTTATGATTTATATCAGACACTGTTGCATCACATAATAAGTATTGAGTATAAATCTAATGGTGCATTCAGTACCAACTTTTACACTTACAAATATTTTAAGATGACACATGTTTGTGCCTTAAAGGCTTTTTGAGCTTTTTCCTTCCTGTTCACATTTGTTATGGTGCTGGACTCCAAACACCGAATTTGTTCACTGAGTGTGACTTCTTTTTTTTTAACTTTTAGCTGATGTGATGGAAACATCCACTTGTTCATGTGGAGGCATGAGTGCGTTGGTGACTCTGGGTGGAGAATGGTGGCACAGGTCAGGGCAGAAGGCACTGCTAACCATCCTCACTGACAAGCCCACCACTGTCCAGTGCCCTGGCACACTTCACACGTGCTGTGACATTATGTTTCTTCTACATATATACCCCAGCCTTTTTAAAGATAGTCCGTTTAACAAAATCTTTCCTCCATTTGACCCCTCCTGCTGTGTGGAAGTGTGTGTGCTTTTGCGCCTCAGTGGCCCCCAACCTGCAACAACCTGCAGCGTGTATAAATTGTATAATAGTCCAGGGTGTTGGTGTGCGGGTGTAGGGGTCAGAGTTTGTGTTATTGGCACGCGTTGCAGATATGAAACCCCCTACAGGGTCATTGCATGGCCCTCCTGCTTCACTGCAGTTAGCCTCAGTGACCCCTGAACCCATGTGACCTCTCACCCCTAACCTCACCCGCTTGATCGACGTTTTGACCCTCCTGCTGAGGGAGTTTGTGCATGTTCTTGCAATTCTCAAAACAAAAACGACAAAGAATTTTTTCGAAGAAAAGAAAAAAAAAAAAGAAAAAGATGTTGACGTATTATGAGTTTCAGCTATTTTCCATTGCTTCAAACGATTACAGCTTTATGTATTTTTTTAATCTTTATTTGTTTGCGTTCACTTGCATACAGGTGCCAACCCCCTGCAGACCAATGGTTTGGGACACACAGCACGGGCCTATGCTAAGGAGGGAGAAGTGAGCACAGCACTGCAGGAGTGGGAGGGCAAGGTATGACACACTCATCACATTCACACAGACATCAACACTAACTTTGTTTTGCTTCCACACAAACTCTGCAGATTGTCCCAGCAATTAAAACCGCATTAGTTTCCATGCGTACAAATATGTTGACCGTGTAGTTGTTTCCTGCTCTAAATGACTCAGCACAGTTCACTCAGCAGACATCTGTGTCATTTATTTGCCCTCATGCACACAGACACACACTCATCAGGAGGTCTGTCAGTCTGGGGACTGAGTGACAGGTGCTATTGAGTATTACAGATGTGAAAGCTGGTAGAGGTTAACTGGGGTTAAAAATCTGCTGAAGAACAAAGCTGGGTTATAGATCAGTATGATATAAAGAACATAAGACTCGATAGAATCTGGAGTTTTTGCTATAATATTGTGACATACAGTAGCTTAAATGTTGTTTTTCTCTGCTCTTAAAGGCTCCGTTAGCGTGAAAATTTCATCATGCACACTATAATGATAATAAATCTATGGACTTATTAATATGCACAGACAAGTGATAAATTCTCCAAAAAAATCCAAGTTGAATGTTTTTTTAATTCATGTTTGAAAGTACAAAAAATAATCTCATTATTATGCATTTATTATTGATATCGATGTGTTGTGCATTATTATGCATTACCATAATGCGTATATATGTAACATGTATATGTTTACCATTGTAGCCCTTGAAAATACACATCAGTTTGGTCAGATAAACTGAACGTCTTCTTCAAATGCACAAAATCATTGTCTGAACGGGCATGAGAACATAACTCAGCACTATTTTTACATCTAAGGACGGTAACACCTTCACAAAAGCTTTGATATTACAGTCTATGAAGTGTGAAATACTTTCCTGGATGGTTCTGATAAAAATGTGTTGAAATTGGGAAAGTTTGGGTGAGGGCGGTCGTAAGATTTTATTGGTTTTGACTGAACAAACCTGCAGAAACAGCTGACTGAGAGGAGTTACTCCTCATTGCTCAGCTCTTGGTATTTCACAGGTGTGTAGTAGTAGAAGTGGGGTCTGCTGTTTTGTTAAATAAAACTTGAGTTATCCGTAGTTATCTAGCAGCTTGACAGCAGGCTGGAGCTAAGCAAGATGGAGAGAGAGAATAAACAGCCAGCCTCCACTGCAGGGTGAAAACCTGGAGTCTGAGGAGACAAATAGGAGAGGATGAATGAGTCATGGGGTGGCTGCAACAAAGAAAGAGGGAGAGAAACTCAGGGGGAAGGAGGTGAGAGAGAAAGGGGAAAGAAAAGAGAGGTGGAAAGAGATCAAATCAGCAGAAGAGAGGAAATGGGTCTCAGAGAGAGGAAGGCAGAGGATGTGTTAAAGAGGACGAAGACAGGAAGCAGATAGCAGCTGGGAAATGGAAAGGAAATTTCAAAACTGATAGGGAGTGAAGGGAGAAATAAAGAGATTTTTAGAGGAAGAAAGATTCAAGTTTCATCCCACAGTTTCAAAAAATGTGATGCCTGATATGACAAAATAACCTGGCTTTGCTTACAAAATAATGTCTATCATTCAACAGTGAGTCCACGCAACAAAAATCTGCCTTTGTAAACTGTAAAAACAGCTACACTTTGCAAAATACCTGATGAAAGTCACTTATCTGAGACAATTAATTCTCATAACATCTGTCTGAATACAGGTATGCAAAGATCTCATTTCCTGTTTGACAGCATTTAGCAATAACAGCATTTACTGCTGGGATAAAGAGTCAAGTAAGTGTTATTTACAAACCCCAAAATTTCTAATGTGCCTTTAAAGTCTGCACAACATGCAGAAATAACATTAACAGGGAAAAAGAATGAGGGAGTCACAATCCCACAGATGAGAGCTTTGCACAATTGGCTCCTCAGTAACAACATATCATCAGTATGGTGAAACTGAACTGACTCAAAACTGGGACTGCACAATTAATTGAAATATAATCCTCCAAATCACAATATGGCCAAGTGCAATATCCAAATCGCAGGAGCTGCAATTGTTTTGTTGATAAAGGTAAAATGTGTCACAACATTGTTGCGCATTGTTGGCACCACAAGCGCTGCAAAGATGCCGTGGCCTACAAATCATATTCTCCAGATGTAAGGGAACATGCTTGTTTAGTACGAGCCCCAACAAAAATTACATCATCATTTTCTTTTTCTTTTTTTTTTTTCAGTGAAAATGAAATGCAAAAATGATCATTCCAACTGAAAACATGACATGTTGTGACTAATCGCAATATGATTTTTTTTTTTTTGCACGTCGTGCAGCCCTACTCAATACTATTCTAAGAGCGTGCTCTTTCTCTGCCTCAGTGCCCCATAGTGGGGAAGAGTTGTGAAGGTGGAAAGTGTGGTAAAGAGGAAAAGGTGATGATAAAGAGATAAAGGAATAAGAAGAGACACACCTGCAGACTCTTTGTTCAGACTGTTCTTGATTCATTGACTGTCTCATCTATTTTCTGTATATTGGTCTTTTTTTTTTTTACCTTTATCTAGTTCCAGGAGGCGCAGGCTCGGCGGGAGGCAGAGGAGAGGAGGAGGTTCCCCCTGGAGAGGAGGCTGAAGGAGCACATCATCGGACAGGAGGGGGCCATCAATACCGTAGCCTCAGGTAAACACATACGCACAGGTAAACAGGTAGACACACACAAGAGACATACAGTATGTGCAGCTAAACAACCACTCACCACATACAGTATATAATAAGTGTGTACAGTAGTCTTGTCCTCCTCCTCTTTGTAACCGCACTGCCTCTCTTTTCCTTTATTCTTATTGCCCCTCTCTTTTTTCAGCATGTTTCTGTTTTGCACTGCCCTCCTCTTCCTCTCTTCTGCTCTCCTCCCTTCCCTCCAGCGGTAGGCGGGTTCAGACAGACCGGCGGAGGCTGTAATTGGTTAATTGTGATGAATGAGCTGTCTGTCAGGCATACACAGGTGCTGTGTGCATATGTGTGTGTTTGTGTGTGACAGCTGAAGAGGCCAGGCTTGGAGCCGCCAGTTAACACGATTACAGAGAGAGGAGACATACTACAGACCCCCCCACACACTCCTCCCCTCCTCCTCTTTTCTCTCCCTCTTTCTGCCTTGCCCCCTCTGTCTCTTCTCCCTTTTCACTCCTCTGTTTCTCCTTCCATCTCTATCTCTTTACCCCCTCGATCTCCATCACACCCACTCTTTCTCCTTCACCTTTCTGTCCTTTCCTATCGTACTTTGTGGCCTTCACACACCTCCTGGATCTTTCCATCATCGTTCCTCCACGCTGTGCCCTCCATCTCCTTCCCAGAGTCAAGGATGGACAGCAGAAAGGCAAAGTGATGGAGACAGGAAGAGAAAAACAGATAAGACAGGGGGAAAACAAACAAAAGCGATAGAAGACAAAAAAAGAGACAAGAACACTGATGGGAGGAGATAGCAGAGAAGTGGCTGAGAACCAGAAAGCTGGGAGCATTGACAGAAAGACAAAGAGAGCGAGTGTAATGCATGGAGAAGAGGAGGGAGGATGAGTTAGAGCACAATAACACAGCAGACAGTAAAGAGCTGATATTACACCAGGCATCCATGGAGGCCATGTATTGATCCGCGTGTGTGTGTGTGTGTGTGTGTTTTGAGTAGAATTAGATGTCTGTGTAGTGTATGTACTGTAGTGATGTTGTGTGTGTGTGTGTGTGTGTGTGTGTGTGTGTGTGTGTGTGTGTGTCAGTGAAGAAAGAGGATGTGTGTTATTTTTATGATCTTGGACATTTTCTATTTAGATTTGTGTAAATAATCAACACACTCCCAAAGCTAGAAGCAGATATTATAATCTGTAATGTGTATTTGTAATGTGCAAATACTGCAGTGTTTATAACCAACAGGAGAACAACTTGGATTTTTTTTTGCTGAAGACCTTTGTAAAATGCTTAATCAAAAAAAAATACACATAACTACAAATGTAAACATAAAAACCACAGAGTTCTCCATAAACCAAAACACATTGATGCATATTGGAGCAGCAGTTACAAGTGCCACTGTACAGAAGGGAAGAAGTGGAGTCCAAGAAGGAAGAGAGAATCATGGGACCTGTAGTCTTTGGCAGGGTGATGAATGATTGTTGTTATCATGGCAAATTGTCCTGAAAGCCATAGAAGACATCGCCACGGTGATAAAGGAACAGCTTATTGATCCTTCAGAAGTATTACAGTGAATATATCACACACACACACACACACACACACACACACACACACACACACACACACACACACACACACACACACACACACACGAGAGGGAGTGAGAGAGCGTGTGGGATGCCTAAAGAGGCAGACAGAGGATCCATCTGCAAAGATGCTCACAAAAACACCCCCGTGTAAGGTACAGTTGTACTCGTGTTGTGTGCTGCTCTGTCAGTTTTTTACTATTTTTTTTTTTTCCCCCAAAGGTGAGCCAAGCAGGAATCAGCCACACTCTGGCAGTCGGAGAGAGGAAGCAGATATTTAGAGATGAGGAGATGGACCAGTAAAGAGAGGAAGAGATATAGTGTAGATAAGGAGACCGCAAATGAGAAAACGATGTAGAGATAAAGAGAGAAAGAGTGCTATATAGGACCAGACCAGCCATATACAACAACATATTTATATTACAATAGTTTTGGTTCTTACAATGGTAAAGTGTGTCATTATTATTTTCAGTATGGATTAATGTGTGACTTGTTTTTGTTATTAATCCCTTTATCCCTGTAAAATGCCTGTAACAGGGATGTCCTGGTGGTTGAGCGATTAAGATATACACTATGTGACTGAGACGTTTCCGGTTCGATTCCAGCCAGAAACGTCAGTCTCATGTCATCTCCTCTTCTCTCTTCCTATGTGTATGCCATAACATAACACTTCACACTGATATAAATCTGAGAAAAAAAGCAAATCTTCACATTAGAGAAGCAGAATAGCAAATATTTGACTTTTTTCCTTGATAAATTAAAAGATGATTGTATTCAAGTTTTATCTCTCCACTCATTGATTAATCAACTAATTGTTAGTTGTTTGTATATCACAGCAAAAAAACAAACAGGGATAGATGAACTGATTGTTGTTAGTAAAATTCTGCAACAGCTGGCCTGCTGCAAAACACATACACACACACAAGGTACAAACACACTAACTGGGCACACACACACACACAGACACACACACACACTCACAAACACAGGAAGGAGGTTAGATTGATCCAGGTTTAGCTCTCAGGGCTAAGAGTTATTGAAGAGAATCATCCCTCTGTAATCATGTTAGAGCCAACCAGACCTGCCCATTGCACACTGCTCTGTGTGTGTGTGTGTGTGTGGTGTGTGTGTGTGTGTGTGTGTGTGTGTGTGTGTGTGTGTGTGTGTGTGTCAGTGTTTGTGTCAGTGTTTGTGTGTCAGTGTTTGTGTCAGTGTTTGTGCGTCCGTGCCAGCATGTGTAAGAAACAGAGAGAGAGAGAGAGACCGAGCTTTCATTTGTTTTGTGTCCCCTTCCTTTCCTTGTTGTTGTCAGGGTCCTCTGAGAAATGTCAATGTGCCCTTCTGTCAAAGTCGCTCTCAATCAGCTAAAACACACAGAAGGTTACGCTGTCATTCACACAGTCATTGATAAAGCAGACGGAGCTTTGGAGCCCCTCTTGTCACTATTCATCTCTGTGGCCATCTCTGACACACTCGTTTGTTTCTCTGCCTCGTTCTCTGTCTCCTTATCTCCATCACTCCTCTCGCTTTCCCCTCTACATCCTTGCTTCTCTTTCCTCCCCTTATCTTTGTTCCTCCCTCTCTACCATGTCATCTCTCCATCTCTCTCCCTCCCTCATTCTGCCTCTCCTCCTCTCCTCCTCTCCTCCTGCCGAGCTTCTTCTCCTTATGTTTATCAGCTATTAGTAGCTTGTTTAACACTCAGATCTCATGTGTGTCGGTTAGTGATTTAGCTCCACTGCATGACACACAGCTTCTTAGCCACGGCAGCTTACAGTGAGTGAGCTGGAAGAGGCTCACCGTCTTGGCAGAAGATGCTTTGACAGGACTCATAGCTGTTGTTTGACGCACAGAATTAAATCTGTAAGTTTTGGTTCCTCCGTCTTCTCCTTAGCAGCTTGGCCACAGCGTTCTCCTGCCACTTATCTGGCTGCACGCGATAACCTGCCAAGAAATTGACACCTCTGAGACAGATTGTTTAAGCTTGTTAGCTTGAATCGTGCTGCTAACTGTAAGATATTTATGCTACAACCTTGTGGGCCCTTATGAACTTTTGGCTTGATGTGTAAAGGCAATGAAAAATACATGGCATGAAAACTAGTCAAGAAATGAATTGGGTCGAATGGGTCAAGGCTTTAACAAGGTTGTGTTCTCACATGTCAGATTCAAATGGAAGGAATTTCAAGATGTAAAAGCCCTAAAGAACCTGACCTGTGTTTCTAACTGCTTAAATATACAGTTCAGATGTAAAATTGTCAAGTAGAAGCCACAGACAGACCTAGTGTAGAGAGGAGGGCCAGGTTTAGGTTGCATGAATGTAATATTTTGTGGCTCCATCAGGCTAGGAAAAAAACCCACAAAGACACATACAGCCAGCAGATTCAAACCCAGGACCATTTTGCTCAAGGCTGCAGTGCTGACCACTCAGCTGCTGTTCCACTGACTTGATCCTGTTGGCAAAACTCTGTTCATCTATGCTTCTGGTTTTGGCCTCAGTCTCTCAACAGGTTCAGATTTGGATGAGTTTTGTGCTGGTGTCTGCTTCTTCGTTGTGTGGCCGAAACCACGGCCAAATACACTCTTTACTCTCCTGCGATCCACCTCATCATCTTGTCTTTGTGTATATGTGTGTGAGTGTGGTTGCTGGGGTGATGGCAGGGTTGGGTAGGCACTCCTCTATAAGCAAGCGTGTGTGTCTGTGTGTGTGTGTGTGAGGCTGCGATCCATGCTAAACTGATTTCGCCATGGCCGCGCCAGGGAGGCTAACACAATTACTGCTGGCTAATGGCCCCACTGACTGTGGGGGGGGGGGGGGGGGGGGCTTTCTGGAGGTCTCTCATCTCGCTCTCTTGCTCTGTTTTCTCTCTTCTTCCTCCTTTTTTTTTCCACCAAATGTCTCTGACCTTTTTCTCATCCCTGCTCTCTCTCTCTTTTATCATAGTTTCTGGGATACCCGCCGCCCTCGGGTCAACTTGGTTCAGTTGGGTGAAACTTAGATTACTTAGTGGAAAAGCAAAGTCAACAAATGCAAATGACTGAAATAATAGCCTGCCTTTCTTTTCTCTCTCTCTTTAGCCATCAGGAGGAAGGAGAATGGTTGGTACGATGAAGAGCATCCTCTCGTATTCCTCTTCCTCGGTTCATCAGGAATTGGTAAATCACTCTCTCATCGTCCACACCCTACACTTCCTCTCTGTTTTGATCCCATGAAGCGATGGGGGAAGAAAAAAAAAACCTCTTCAGTTTCCTAAAAGTAGCTGCCAAAATAAACACCACTTGAGTAAGTCAGGTTTTTGAAGTCCACTGAATGCATAAACAAACAAATTAAATGACAAAGAATACACAAGGCTACAAAAGCACATCTCACATTGTAGATTCGAAAACTACACAGTATACAGTGAATGAGTTTGTCCTCAAGGTGTCATCATTTATGGTGTGAAAGTAAAATAATAATAATTTAAACCATCATTTTGACTGTTTCTCAGCCTATTGCTTCATTCAAAGATAAAAGGAAGAGCTGTATTTGATTAAATCAAGACAAATAACTCTTATAAGAAGCTTTGTTGAAAACAGTGCCTGCTTAATGGACCTACTGTGTTATTCTCACAACTGACAGCTTAACAGGTTGGCTAGCATTAATGTGTACAAGCTAGCTGGCTAAGATAGCAAACTTATTGCTAATGTTAGTCATGAGTTTATACCCACACTACAGATCGACCCCTTTGGTGCACACTGATATATCTCAACAGCTATTGGATGAATTGCCATGAAATAGGGTTAAGCCAATGTACAGACATTCATGGTCCCCAGAGGATGACAACCACTGACTTTGATGAGCCCCTGACTCTTCCTCTAGTGCCACCATTAGGCCAAATCTTTGGGGGATTTTTTTTTTTTGTGTGTGTGTATTTAATGTGTTAATTTGTATTTATTCAATGGCTGCTTGCAGTTTCCACATATCATCAACAGTTGTTATGAACAGTTACTCTAGATGTATTGGATGTCGCAACTTCACAGCTTGGAAGTGTCACAAAAATTCAGTCCTCTCCACAAAGTCTCAGTTGTCTCAGTCTCAGTTTCTCAATTATTTTCCTTCAGGGGTAAGAAAGTTTATCAATCAGTCAAGGTGCCACTGGGAAAACAGATTCACCAGAACAGGTCCACACCCATTTCAATCACTGGCAACATTTAAGATGTAGAAACAGGCTAATTGTGTTTAGTAATAAAGCAGAAGTGGTACTAATGTCCCTATTATCATGTAGGAAGACACAGATAACATCTTCTTTGGTATTAACAGTGATGTCACTTCATGTCAAGTCAAACCAAACAGATTTCTACAAGCTGATCCTTGTGGATAATAGTTCAGACATGGGATGTGTTTGTATCATCTGGAAGATTAATATCAGACCCAGTTAAGGCATTTTAATTGATCAGTGTTGGCTTAATAAAACACCCATTTCCAATCCTTTGTTGATTGCAGCCCATTGAACTCTGTGTACACCAGCTGTCAGAAACAGCTGATTGCACTTTGAAACACTGGAACCTCTTCCTAACATACAGTACTGAACAGCAACACTAACTAAACAACAGCCAGGATTTTGATTTAATATCTTCTTGGGATGGTGAGGATGAATTGACAGTCTAAATCCTGTCTGGCCTTTCTGCTACTACAGATCCACACTGACACTCTATATCTATGGATATTATACAAAACACTATGCAAAACATTTTAAGAAACCAGCAAAGGAAATCTGTGATACAGGGTGTGTTTTTAATCAGCTTTTTAGATTAAATCTGTATCATCAGATATTCACTATTAAAGGACAAAGGTTTACTGGGATGTCTGTAGTTTACAGAAAAGGTTAAATGTTCACAAGCAGCAGCAAGAAGAGTGATAGAGTGATGGCAATAGGGAGACAGAGGAATATTATGGGCCAGATAGATGGCTAAAAAAGAGGGAGATGGTAAAATGACAGGCCAGAGAGATAGATGAAGGAGAGACGGTGTTCATATTCTCTGTTGCCTTCAGCGACAAACAGTGGCCATGAGACATCAATATTAAACACAGCAACAAGACACAAGCACAGACACACACATGCACACACAATCATCATACCCATATGCATACCAGACATAGGACATCAATATCATATATGAGCATTTATATGCAGAATATTTTAGCGACAAACATAATGTGTGCTGTTCTGGAGAGCTGGAGATGATTGAAAGCTTTGTAGGGGGAGGCACTGGGATTTAGGCCAGCACTTAGAGAAAGAGAGAGATCGTCTTTCTGTCTGAAATGAGTAAGACTTCCTGAAATCTCTGCATACTGATGGACTCCAAAAAGGCAGGGACTGTTTTTTGGGGTTTTTCTATTATTTTTTTTTTTTGGTTATTTTTTCATGAAAAACAAAATAATTAAATGGGAGCGGGGGTTACTGAATAATTTAATCATGTCTCTATTTTGTCTGTGTGGTGTCACAGGAAAGACAGAGTTGGCCAAACAGGTGGCCCGCTACATGCACAAGGACATTAAAAAGGTATGTGATGTAGCATCGCACATGTACACATACACACACACACGTACACGTACACGTACACGTACACACACACACACACACACACACACACACACACACACACACAGACAGACACAGGTGTTTTACCATTCAATCAATGGGTGGGAAGCAGGTCTTCTCATAGATATAAAACACATATAAGACATTTAATTTAGTCGGTCCTCCCGCCTTGAAGAAATGACAGAGAATTCAATTTGTGTTGGTTCCCATGGTAACTGTACAGTCAACAGAGGGCAACAAAAAAATACACACTGATACAGCACACACAGCAGTGTGATGAGAGGGTTAATCCATCGTGTGATTGCAGGGTTTCATCCGTATGGACATGTCGGAGTTCCAGGAAAAACATGAGGTGAGATACTTTCTTTCTGTTACAGATATAATACTGTGAAGTTGTTAGGCAGCCAAAGTGTTTGAATCACACACAATTTGTTGAATATTTTGCTCTAACAGAGGTTCATTCATTTCAGACCAGAGCATATCTGTTATTGTTGCATCACTGCTGCAGATTCATGGCAGTGACGCATTGGGTTAATTCTGTTTATGTTCTCATAATGGATGCATAAACCAAAGTTAATGTTGTTTTTGCCCTATTTTTTTGTAAAGCTTTGGTGATGAATACATTCAATCTGAATGAAGAGTTACATTATGTTGTGGCATTCAAGAACCCCATCTGATCCATTTCACCTCAGGATTCAGATTCAGTGTTCACTTTTAGTGTATTCCTGCGTAGTTTGCAGCAACAGAAATCATAGCTGAAGTGTATTCCTGTAAAATATGTGCTACATTGTTGAACTTATTTTGACCCATTGTGCTCCCTCTCCCAGGTGGCAAAGTTCATCGGCTCTCCGCCGGGGTACGTGGGACATGAGGAAGGAGGTCAGCTGACCAAGCTGTTGAGGGCATGTCCCAACGCTGTTGTCCTGTTTGATGAAGTAGACAAGGCCCATCCTGATGTACTCACTATCATGCTGCAGCTCTTTGATGAGGTGTGTGTACAAACACAAGGAGGCAGATATAGATAATAATACCTTTGTGTTCCATTCATCCCGTTTTTGTTTTGATGAAACAAGATGCAAATGTAACTTTAATGACGCAATCTCTCTCTCATACCTGCTGTTCCTCTGTCAGGGTCGTCTCACAGACGGTAAGGGGAAGACCATCGAATGTAAAGATGCCCTCTTCATCATGACGTCCAATGTTGCAAGCGATGAAATTGCCCAGCATGCACTGCAGCTCCGCCAGGAAGCTGAGGTGGTGAGCCGCAGAAAACTGGCTGACAACCTCGGTGAGAGAGAAACACAAATACAGACTTAAAAATTAAAGCACAAATATAATGATGTACAACCTTAGTCTTTATTCTCTGAGACATCACACTGACTTGCATTTGGTACATATATCATAATATACAGCTGCAGCAAAATTCATTTACTAGTTCCCACATTGGGAACCCATTCAAATCTGTTCTGACACATTTTCATCTGTTGCTATAGTTAAAATGGGCCTGATGATTGGATGTGTATGAAGTATTTTTAAATATTTTTGTTTGTCTAAATTTGTAGTCAGCATTACAAATTGGCACTACGCTGTAAAGACATATGTAGCCATCACATAAGCAAAGGTCAGGTGAATAAAATCAGAAGTGAAATGAATGTTAATACAGTGCTTTTTTTTCCCTCAGAGGACGTACAGAAAAGTGATGACATCAAAATCTCCCGACAGTTTAAAGAATCTGTGATTCGACCAATCCTGAAGGTATTACAATTACATAAACACAAATAAAACCATATTGTGGTGTAATTACAGACATATGTTTTTTCTTTTTTCTTTTCCACACAATTTGACTGTAGTTGGCCTGAGAGGCTTTATTTGTCATTGTTAATTGTTTTGTTCCTGCCCAGGCTCATTTCCGGAGGGACGAGTTTCTGGGTCGGATCAATGAAATAGTTTACTTCTTGCCATTCTGTCACTCAGAGCTGCTACAGCTGGTCAGCAAAGAGCTCAACTTCTGGGCCAAGAAAGTATGTACCACAGTGTGCAGGAAAATTACATGACATCACAACATGCACCTTATGACTGAGAAAAGTGAGAAATAAATTATGTGTTTTCTGATGTTAAGTGTTTAATGGGAAAGTAGAAAGTCTTAATTGTTCGCACTACCACTACTCTTTTGCAACATTTTATCATGAAACAAGCCCCTAACCTCGCTTTATGTACAGATCTAAACACTGTATCCACATTACTATTTTATACCCTTTGATAGTAGAGACTGACAAATTATAGCCAACACTACAACAGGTCTACAAAGTGGAGGAGAGCTTAAGCCTCCGTGTGTGTGTGTGTGTGTGTGTGTGTGTGTGTGTGTGTGTGTGTGTGTGTGTGTGTGTGTGTGTGTTGTGTGTGTGTGTTGTGTGTGTGTTGTAGTCTGAGAGAGGGAAAGGAGGCCTGTTTTCTCAGCATTTATAACGTGGGTGTCCTCCAGCGGGACACACCCTCTTCGTCCAGCAGCCGCTGAGCTGTGCAGGAACACACCCAGATCAATATTATGTGCCACTGCTACTCACTATAATGTGATTACAGTGTTTAACATGTGGAGCCTTCATCAATATTTAATTATTAATATTACAGCTGGTGTCTTGACAGTATACATGGGCCCTGCAGGCGACTGATAGGGACCTGACTCATGACTCTCGCTGAGTCCACTGAGTCTTTTGAATGCTGCTGTATGTGGTGTGTGTATATGTGTGCTCATGGCTGTTGTCTTTAATTTTTTAAGTGTGCATGTCTTGTAATAACTTGCCTCTGTCTGTATGTGGCAGCGGTGCTTACAGCAGAGATCTCGTTATTATAGAATCCTCTCGAGCCATTTGTTTGTCACTCACTTATATTAAATAAATTAAATGTTTATTGTTCTCATTATTGCCTTACAACAGTATTTATAATGTTGGAATATTAGTGTTTATGTCTCTCGAGTAAAACATGGCATCTCATTTATTGAATGGAGCGTTAACATCCGTAGCTAAATGAGCAGCTCTGATCACTACTATTGACTAGTGTTTGATTAAAACGCATTAAGGGCCTGTTGATTAGCGCTGGCAGACATGTTGCTTGACAGTATCTCCTCTCTGCTGCTACATTTATCTCTTTCGCTCCATCTCATTACTCTTTATCTTTCTCCGCCACCATCCTCTCTTTCTGATTTGACTGTTTATGATACTCGTGTCATCCGGGTTTCTCACCCTCATCCCTTTTTCTTCTCTTTCTCTCCCTTTTTTTCATTAGGCTAAGCAGCGGCATGACATCACTCTTCAGTGGGATCGCCCGGTGCTGGACCTTTTGGCGGGAGGGTATAACATGCATTATGGAGCGCGCTCCATCAAACACGAGGTATGCACATACTGTAACAGACTGCTGCACCAGGGTGTCTGAAAATACTTTCAAGGTTTGACTTTATATCATCTGTTCTCAAGGCCTTTAAAGATATTTTCTTGTTTTCATTGTTTCATCTTCTATTTTTAACAGCTTTTAGGCAGCTGTTTCATTGAGGAATCTTTGACAAAGCACCTACATACAGGCTTGAAACAGCTGGAAACAGCTTTGAAAATGTTCATGAAGACGATTAAAACTGTTAAGTTTACTGTTTAATGAAATGTCTGCCTTCATTTTAACTTCAAAATAAAGGATAATAAGATGATACAATTAAAGTGCGTTTGTTTAACACCTGTATGATCATGAGTGTGATTACACTACATTACCTTATCCCTAGATCCCACCAATAACGTTGATGAGGAAAATATATAACTGATAGTAGTGATGGCCAAACTAAATAAAAAGACATTTGTTTAGTGTAAGAAAATCATGCGCCTATTGGACATTCTTGTGCAGAAAAAAATCAGTGTGATATCTTGTGTGTTGCTTTTTCACTCATAGAGAAGTACATATTTGGTCTGTGATACATAATTGATCATGGAACAGCCTCAAATCAGCAGAGAACAATGTCCAGTATCAGTTCATATCTTGCTTCAGGGGCCAGGCAGCAAATCTCAACAACAGCAGGTGTAAAAAGCAATAATAGTTCATTTATTTACAACTGAAATAGAAATTAACACAAATAACAAATTATTCAGAGTGCAGGTACTAGGAAAGCTATGGCAACTAATCTGAGACTATAGGTTCAACAACTTAGACATCACAGGAGAATATAATATAATAATATTGAATATAATTTTAATACAATTTTATTAAACACTTATGAAACCAAACTCTGCCTTACCTCTTACCTCGTCACTGATCCCTCAGGTTGAGCGGCGGGTTGTCAACCAGTTAGCTGCAGCGTACGAGCAGGAGCTGCTGCCAAAAGGCTGCACCCTGCGTCTGTCTGTCCAATCAGAAGGCCAGGAGGAGCGGAGCTCACTCAGTCTGCGCCTTGAGGTGGTAGGAGAGGACAGCTCGCCAAGAACGCTGGATATTCGTCCACCACTCAGCCCTGAACACTAATGAAGAAAAGACAACACAACACAAGAACACAAAGGATCTATACAGATATGTATGCACACATGCACACACAGTATCATCGTCTTCATCATCATCATCATTCATTGTCAGGAGGATGGATGGTCCCTGATGGATGTTACCAATAAAAGTACCTCTGATAAACACATCACTGCCTCTCTGTTTCAGTACACACATGCAGTAATTTCATGCCAACGTGTCCACAACATGCAGTACAATACCTGCCAACAATACTGTTACCATTTAACAGCTTATCTTACAACAGAGCTTCATAGCAGTTGGAGCTGATATTAAGAACTGTGCAGAGACTCATTAGATATAAAAATGACGCACAGACTAGCGTAAGTAGCTGTGTTGCAGGTCATTGTAGCAGCACAGGTTTCAGTGTCCCTGTGCATTTTCACAAACACTACAGAACATCTTGTTAGCCGCAACGTCCGTCAACATGTTGACACTCTGACCAACGAGTATGAAGCAGTCATTACTACATTATAACAACAGTACTCAGAAATTATTACTACATTCTTGCATGAGTACTCAGTACTCCACCACACCCATCTCTAAACTCAGCCAACTACACAGACATAAACACCTGCCAAAGTACTCAATAACACTGTCATGGCTGGTAATCAAACATGTCATTAGTGGATTGAAGCCATTGTGCTGACTGAAATATGAGCTTTGCTGCATTATGTTGGTAGAAGCCAACTGTTGAACCACTCAACTGTTACATAGTGAAAAGTTTATGTCCACCTCATTGAATAAAATAATATATCATATTTATTAAAGCTTTTATGTGTAAGTTAAGTTAATGGCAGTGGACAGTGGTATATCTGATCTGATGTTAATGCTGATTAATGCATGGATGCAGAGATGAAGAATGGAGAATGGGTACTGATCAGAACATTTTAACTAGTAGTAAAACTACTGCTATACCAACTGATTTAATTCAAAGATGACAAAGCCAACTTCTCAATTTGCTGTGAAGGAAAAGAAAGCATGAATGACCAAAGATAGTTTGCCTCAGATTGTTGCCTGTGTCTTCACTTTAATGCACATTACAGTTGTGGAGAAACCCTCACCAGCAGAGCTACACTGATAAATATATGTAGAAACAACCTGCTCATTCATTTCATTTTAGTAATGAACGTGTTAGTGGAGAAATCCCCAGCAAAAATGTGCAGCAGTCAGTTTGAATTATGGATAATATAACTGTCTGGTGAATCGTTTCTGTTGATGCATGTTAATGTAAAGAAGTCTCATCTGTCACGACAGCGTGCTCTGGTGCTGTACAGTGTGTCTGTGTGACATTAAGAGAAATTTAGAGTCATAAAGAATTAGTAATCAAAGTGTTGTATCATAAATGTTCGAACAGCGTGTTTACAAGGCGCCTAATGTAATCGAGCAACATTTCTCATTCTTGTATCCCAACCTCCGCCATGTAAATAAAATCATCACAACAAAAAGGGAATTCCTGTTTTTTGTGTTCTGTTTGTCTTGAACTGACACTCTTGATGGATGGATTGTGTGGTGTGTGCGTGTGTGTGTGTGTGGTGTGCTGTGTGTGTTGTGTGTGTGTGTGTGTGTGTGTGTGTGGTGTGTGTGTGTGTGTGTGTGTGTGTGTGTGGTGTGTGTGTGTGTGTGTGTGTGTGTGTGTTGTGTGTGTTGTGTGTGTGACGTGTGTGAAGCAGAGAGTGTGTGTGTGAGAGAGAGAGTGTGTGAGTGTGTGTGTGTGTGAGAGTGTGTGTGAGAGTGTGTGTGAGAGTGTGTGAGTGTGTGTGTGAGAGTGTGTGAGTGTGTGTGACAGAGAGAGACCAGTGCCTGGGTGGGAATTCTGCAACAATAACGCTTGTCCACCTTGTGAAACAACATGACAGAGGAATTTGCTTGGAATCCTGCTCTGTGTGGGGGTCTGTGTCGGATACAGGGAGCACATGCAGCGTGGTAAATGCCACAGAAATGTAGAAAGCATGTCACACTCACACAACATGCAGGAATGTCTTCCCTATAGGAAGGAATTAGCATGCAGGAAAAAGACGCATTCACTCTTACTGTGCTCCGCCTGGACCTCCCAACAACACAAACACTCCGTTTCATTCTCTGTCAGGAGGAAGGTTCTCTGCAGTGTTTATAAATCATTCCCTGCGGCAGTATTTTTATAACACTGCAGTAATCTTCGGGCTGAAACAATCAGTCAATTAATTGATTAGTTGGCAAACAAAAAAATTGACAAATATTTTGATAATTGTAAATTTTCAAGAAATAAGTGTCAAATATAGCTGCCACCTACTCATGACTCTGAGTAGGTGGCAGCTACGCTTACTCTGCGGTTGTATATATTGTAGTTTGCATTGTAAACAAATCATCAAGTCGGCAAGTGTCATCTGCATGTTGTGAAGCTGATGGGGGCTAAACTCGCCCACAGAGAAAGTAGCAGCAACGTGGGACTCTTGAAGTGGCTGCATCTGGACAGTAGATCAGGTTTTGCTTGATACCTCAAGGCTTTTCCCATCTCTATAACCCTCAAACACATCTACACTTTATGGTTTTAGGAAGTCAAGCTGGCGCGCGTGTGTGCGTGCGTGTGCATGTGTGTGTATCCATTTACCCTCCCCGAGGAGGAAGACAAGAATAAGAGGAGGAGGAGAAAGAGAAGAGGCTCTTAGTCTGTCCGTCAGGCTATTTCTGACTGCTGCCATTTCTCTGATTAGATTATGGAGAAACAGAAACCTGGCCCTCCATCGTCCTAACCTCCCTCTCCCTCTATCTCGCTACATTTTGCTCACTCACTCACTCACCCACCCCATCCTCCCTCTCTCTCCTCCACCTTTTTCTCTCAGCCCTTCCTCCTTCTTCCTCTTCTGTCTGTCTGTCTGTCCGTCCATCTGCCTCCATCCCTCTCTGCCCTGATGGCTCTCTCCCACCTTCTGCTGATGATACAAGTGGAAACAAGAGAGCAAGGAAAACAGAGAAGTGGGCAAGAGTGTATAAGGTCAAACATGAGAGGAAGGGGCACATGGAAGAACAGAAAAAAAAGACTGAATACACACACACATTTGACTAGTATAAAAACATCTGTATTAAAGTAAAGACCAGTATTTTTTACAATAGTCTTACCATGGATTTCTTCTCTTGAAGGTAATTGGAGCTGTCTTGTGGACCCAAACCAAGACCCAAGCTGCAGCAGTTGTGCATGTAGACAAATGAGAAATTTTTCATTTAGAAAATATATTTTCCTCATTTCTGTTAGAATATATGCCTGTTCCAAACCATCAAGTTGCCATGAAGCTCAATAAATACAGCAGACACTGCAGTTTGATTGTACTGTACATACCCCAGACCCAGACACCAACCAGTACTCCTGTCCTCAGCTGAAGCTACCTCGCAAGACTCTCTGTTTCATTTGAATTATGGTAAATAAATAAAACCTACTTTGCTTTTTTAGGAATATGCACTACACTAGCACAATACCAACTAAAAGGATTTGCAACACAAGGCCACAAGATGAAGTTATAATGCACATCCTGCATGCCCTGTTGCACTTTAGAGGTGCAAATTCTGCAAACAAACTGTAATTAACCAAATTACAAAAAAAAAAAAAACGATCAGGGGCGCTCTGGTGGCAGTTTGGTCTTCCTCCACACATTCTCATCTCTATACTGTCTGCTATCCTGAAAAACCATAACATGCATAGAAAATAATTTTTGAAATGACCAAAACCATTTGACATGCAGCTCTCCTGGGGGTCTGGGCTGAAGTTGCATACACTGACAGAGCTGAGTTATGTGTGGGATCAGGCTCAGGCTCTACTGGTACTGAATACTAATCTCTGTTGTAGACGTTTGGGTGTGTTTGATTTCAGTGCAGTTGCAGTGCAGTGGTGGGCAGCCCAGGCGGCAGCAGCTTGGAGAGGTGCAGCAGCCAGGTGGAGGTGGTGAATGATGAACGACTACTAGAGGCTCTCCCATTATCATATCTGTCCCTGCTCTTAACGGGGGATTTTCATCCGTGTCCCTCTGCACTACTCTCACCGCCCCCCCCCCCCCCCCCCCCTCCCTCCCTCATTGTGCTCCCCCAGGAAAGCGATCGATTTCACCTCCATTACCTCAGTCCACTCAGCTCAGTGTAAAGATGCTCCTCATTCATGCAGCTGTACAGCAGCACAGTTATCACAGCCTACACTCAGCTTTTATTTTGGGTTTATGTGTTTGTTAAAATGAGACTCTTGACCCTTTGTGTTAACGCCTGGAGTTATGGTGTCTTTGTTGTGGTTCGGATGATGGGGGACGGGGGTGGGAGTGGGGGGGGGGGTTGGACCGGCGGACGGCCACACCGGATGCAGTCCGGTTACCGCAAGGCAATCACGTGACAGTCCCCTGGGAGAATTAGCATAAAAGACGAATAAAGGACCCCACCAAAAACACACCAGTCTGTCCTCCTTTCTTTTAAAGAAAAGGAACAAATCCATTCCGCCTAATTCGAACCTTGCTCAGGGACAGCTCGCGTGGCAGATTGCAGCCTAATTAGTTTAGAGGGAATTTAATTCAATTAACTTTCCACAGCTCCGCGCGCCCCGCCGCTGGGCTGCTTTCAGAGCGCGGGGCCAGAGCTCCAGATCTAATTAGCGTGTTTGGAGAAGCTCTCCTGCGCGCGGCCATCCCTCGCTGCTCCAGCTGTGGTGTGTGTGCGCGCGCGTGTGCGTGTGTGTGTATTTGTGTGTGTACACTGTGGTCTCCCGGGACCTGGTTTTTATCCTAAAAAGCTTCTTTTTTAAGTAACATGCCGTTATCCATTAGGATAATACAGGTCTGGTGCCGCAGTGGAGAGATGTATACGCAGCATGTGAATACCCGCAGCTGCTCTGCGTCATGTTCTGGCTGATGAGTGCGTGTTGAACTGATGTTAGAGTGGACTTCAATTAGTTTGAGTGTAATTTGATGGGTTAAAATGAATGACCACATTTTCAGGAAAAACTTCAGCCTGATGAGCCTCTGTGCTGCACTTGTTATTTTGTCTCCTTTGACTCTTACATTATTTAGTTTGGTTACATTTTTTAAAATGATTTATGGATTTCTCGACAACTCTCTCTACTGGGTTTTTATAGGTCCCAGGGGTGATAATATTTTGGGGAACTGTGCACATGTTCAACATTTTGCCTCAATTTTTGATGGTGATGGGACTTTATAAAGCACAAAAGCACACAAAATTATATCAGGTCTTTTCCCTCAATATTCTGATGGTTTTGGGGATGTTCATCTTTGTGCAGGTTTTTTTCTGTGCTACTACAACAGGCCCAAATACAACTCTTAAGTATTATAAAAAGCTTTAGCCTGAATTACAGCCACGAAAAGGAAACTTAAGTACTTAAAATATATTGTTCCAGTTGAGTATTTTCCTCCTGCGGAGTTGAACATCAGACTCAGTCAGGATCCAGTCTGATTTTGATCATGTGTATCATCACTACCTGACTGAAGTCACACATGCAGTACAACACACCGGGTGCTGTTGCTCCTCTCACTAACCCGGTTAAATGCGCGCCGTCGTCTCGAGCCGGAGCGTCACGGCACATTCCGGTAATTGGGGATTGAAATGCGGGGACAGACGCACCGACGGGACCCCCCGGCCCAGAGCCCACCACCCCCTCCCCCCTGCACCGTCTCTCATCCATCACCGGGCAAATCAAATGCACACCGCCAGCCTCTGCTGCTGCAAAGACGCGGGCCGATGTTAACGGCAGGATCTTTGATTTCTGATTTTATTTTATGTGCAATCGAATCCACCTCCGAGGGAAGAGCTTCTTAAGAGGGGCGATGACACGACACATTTCAGTGACACTGCAGGTAGAGAGCTGTATGTGATCACACTCTGACCTACAGTCAGCAGAGTTGAGGATGAAGTTGTGGCAAATGAAAAAGAAGAATGGGTCCTAATAGTACGATTAAATTATAAGGACAGTAGTCTTTACAAATGTCAAAACAGGGACTGACTGTGATTAATATTAACTATTGATGGGATATATATTACATCTAACGACCACGGTAAATTATGGTCTGATGCTAAAACCGGAAATGTTATAACGATGCAGGGAAGACCTAATGAGATCTGTGTGTGTGTGTGTGTGTGTGTGTGTGTGTGTGTGTGTGTGTGTGTGTGTGTGTGTGTGTGTGTGTCAGTAAGACAGAGAGGGAGAGATAATTCAATCAGCCACTGCGCATTTTACGCACAAATAAAATACGCAAAAATGGCAATTAAATACTGTTGCTATCCATATCCTGAATGGTCATAGATATAATTTTGATATTTAATTTGACCCATTAATTTATAGACTTCTGTTAATAAATAAAATATAACGGTCATATAATCAGAAATAATTAACAGTATAATCTAAATTAAATTGTATTTTTATTTATTAGAAACAAGTTCATTTTACTTGATTACAAGCATCTCAAAACACAAATGAG